CACCCCAGCTCCAGGGGCCCAAACCCCCCCAGCACCAGGGGACTAGCAGGATGCTAATGTTAGTAGGAGGTTCATGCTAGCAGGAGGCTAATGCTAGTAGGAGTAGTTAAAACTTTGTCTTAGTTTTAACAAAATATACAAAAAACTTTTTTCTATTTAGCGGGTTTTTCTTAAAATATTTTTTCTGCATGTTGACTATAAACTACAAAAAGAAGGAACACATATTCTATATTTCAGGTCTTGCTGAACAAAGTTTTGACCAGAGCTCACCTGTGCACGTGCACGGCTGTGTGCACGGCTGCAGAGTCCCAGCGTCCAGACAGGCTGAGTTCTGCTCTAATTTCAGATCTAAAAATAGAAACGTTATCAGGATCAAAACCTCCCTGATGCCTGGAACACACCTGATCTGACACCTGATTGACGGGAAAGAAGAACTTTTCACAGCCAGAGCCGTTTTCACAGCCTCATATCAGCCTGCTATCAGCTCAGGCGTCCCTCAGGGCCTACCTCCGGAGATCCAGAAGCTTCTGCCTGGTTTCTGCTCTGAAAAAAGCAGATCTGTGATCAGGAGGAGCTGATGAGTCTGATAACTGGACTTTGACCTGGTTCAGGTAGATTTTCTCAATAGTTTAGTTATTTGTATTTCAATTTGTGTATTTATGTGTTTAAACGTTGACCCAGAAATTTGGTTCTGAGGGTCCACATGTCCTAATTACACACAATTCCACAATAAGAACATGATCTGCTATGAGGCCCAGAGGTCATAGTTTAAAAAACATTGTTTTGTTAAATACTTTAGTCAATAATAATAATAAAAACTTATGGTAAAGACAGGCAGAAATGCAGCATCACATGAGGATGCTGGGACTCAGGAGTTTAAATCATTATTAAATAAATAGCCATGAATAGTTCAAACGAGATTTGAATCCCCTCTGGGAGGAATACAGTGTTTGTTTTTGTACTGAAGTCCCAGCATGCTTTGCAGGGAAAACTATATTAAACTGCTGGTTTACAGGAGGAGTTTGAACCTGTAAACTGGATTAAACTGGAGGAGTTTTGACCTGTAAACCGGGTTAAACTGTATTAAACAGTGTTAAATGATGTAATTGATCAGACTTCCGCATTGTGAAAAGAGGAAAACAGCCACAGTTATGATCACAGCTCTGGGCAGAAACCCCTTTGACAGGTTTTTGCTAAAACAAAACCTTCCAGAGTTTCCGTCGCAACATGCTCATTTTAAGCCTCCTGACCGGTCAGATCAAAGGCTTTCTGTGGAAGGGAAAGTTTCCACAGCGGTGTCTCATCGGGGGAGTCGGAGGCTCTGCCGTGATTCACTTCCTTCTGCTTTTTTCAGGCCCGTTCTTGTGAAAAACCCTGGGTTCTGGGGGCAGCCGCTGTGGCATTGGCTCTCTGTGGCGTTTTCCTGTGGAGCTGCTGCTGGTTTTGACAGGAAGTCAAACATGTGGTCATCTTCTGACATCATCTGAAATCATCTGAAATCACAAGAAATCATCTGAAATAATCTGAAATAATCTGATCGTCTTCTGACATTTGAAAGCATATATCATCTGAAATCTTCTGATATAATCTGAAATCATCTGAAATCATCTGAAATCATCTGACATCTTCTGACTTCATCTGAAATCATATGAAATCATATGAAATAATATGAGATCATCTGACATCATGTGACATCATCAGATCGTCATCAATAGAAAAAACCTGCAGGAATGAGCTGTTTTTTTCCCGTCTGCGGAAATATTGAGTCTTTAAGGACATTTGGGGATAAAGTTAGCAGGTTCAAACACTTCCATCTTCTTTGCAGCTTCGTTTAAACGTCCCTCTGCTCTGGTAGGAGGCGATGGAGGAATTTCAGATTCTTTCAGCGCTCTCAAACACAGCATCGCTTTAAGGAGGCGTCCAGATGAGAAGGAGCTCCACGAGGAGCTGGACACAAAAGCACCAGAGCAGCTAAATGCTCCAAACTGGCCAAAGCTCAAAGCTCCTCTTGGTTTGCTGGCGATGCGTTCGGGGCCCTGTGGTGATCAGAGCTCTGTGGGGTCTGTCCTGTGCGAGGGGCCCTCACTCAGTTTTTCTGTTTTTTTCAGGACTCTGCGGCAGCTTTTGGGACCAGAAACGAACATCAAAGTGTGAACCAGCTGCTCTGAATACGCTCTGGACGTGGGATTTCCCCCCTTGACTCCGGCTCCTGAACGCACCGGCCGTTTCCTCTTCCCGCCCGGACCCGTCTCCCCTCACATTTGAGCTTCAGCTGCTATTTATTTAGGGTCACAGCTCACAGACGCCCACGCCGGGCCGCACGCCAGCGCTCTCTTTGTGCCCCGATCGGGAGGGCAGGGAGCCCCTGGAGACCGGGTCCAGCACAAATAGCCACCGGGGGGGGGGGCAGAAACCAGGGCCAGGCCAGGGACAAAGCTCTGCCAGCCTGGGAACAACAGACGGACGTTCCTGGACTCTGTGTCTCAGGCCTGGAATGCAGAAAAGCCCCTTTTCCTGAGCCTCTGAGGCCTGTGAACGCATCACGGTCACCTCCTGATGATGCCTTTGTTTCTGTTTCTGCCCCAGAGGCCGAGTTACATCACAGACAGGCCGATAGATAGATAGATAGATAGATAGATAGATAGATAGATAGATAGATAGATAGATAGATAGATAGATAGATGGATCGATAGATAGATAGATAGAT